AWWWWAARRMYGGCGGATCAACGAGCGTGTACAAATCAATAATTAATCTGCCGAAACACATTAAACCTATAAAAACAAATTCTAYAGTGAGACAGAAGAACATTAATGGCATCAGAATTGCGAATGAGTGTATAAGTGTGATATCTACTTAGCTGCAAGGAATTTGTACTCACTCTAAAATAAAAGTGTTAGTTCACCTCAGGTGGTCGGCCATGTTTTAATCTTTATGACTCATCTCAAATTTAATCGAACGCCATGGCATTGTTGCCATGCTTTTGATAAAGWGAAATTACTAGGGAACATTTAAAAAACACAGCTAAAGGAAAACACAACTGAATTTACTTAGAAACACATCAAAAAGACAGAATAATAATTAAAAAAGCAATAAAAAACATTAAAATGCACAAATTGTCTTCTTATCAAGTTGCAGATTTAGTGATATTGTTTTTATTAAGTAATTGAAACAGGAAAATGATGGGCAAAATCACTTTTTTTCGGCTAGACATCTTTTCCACTATGTAAGGTCTTTAGATCAACTGGCTGTTCAAACTGTGGCGTGGGAATATATATAAAAAAAACATTAAACTCTTCTATTTAAGTAGTATTGTGCACTGTGACTTGACAATGCCATTTTCCTGAAACTTTCCTCTATGTAAAATGACATCTTTTTCGAGACTGAAAGAAGAATCGAAAYTGGAATATTAGGATGATCGAAAAAAGAGTTCAAATTATGAGCCGATTACTAGCTAGATAAACTTAAATTGCYTGCGGTCATGAGAGTGGGTTATATATCTTTAAAATATGTGTTCATGATAGGATGAAAATATCAAAATTAAATGTAGAAAGAAAATGGTTTTAAAATTCACGCGGAGATGCTATGTAATAGAATTTTACTTGATGGAAATTAATTTTATAGAACTTTTATGTGAAGTTATACTTACAATACAAGTTTAATATAATTCCTAGGTCATCGGGTTTGCAACTTGCCCAATTTCTTTAGTCAGATTTGTAGAACAACAAGCAACACAAAGCTGTTGGGTTCACACAACTCTTTTATGAATGAGGTTTCTTCGTAGACTATTTGACGCTTGTCTTAATGTAAGTCTGGTCCTCCACATTATTCAAATGACTTTTTGGGCTATTAGATTAAAAGCATTTGAAGTTGACGGAATACACACTTAAATTCTAATTGGAACTGCTCTGTTTYGTCGTCTAATTCATGGTCATGAATCCATGAGCACTTGTGGATGATCGTGTGAATTTAAGTTAATCCTTTTTAGATGGCTATTGTATTGAGTCTCAACACAGATGAATATATATATACATATCCTCTCATTTGCTCTCTTCAGTGCGGAAGAATATTAATTCAAAGTGAAAAGTGACTGAATCACTTAAATAGTGTAATGCATGGTCTTCTCAAGCTTTTCATGGATATTGTAATTACGAAAAAGAGATGATATTCATTTAATGATATTCATTTCTTATGGACAAACGTGAGAAGAACCTACACTAATTTCCATTAATTTGGGAGAGAGAAGTTGTATTCCTTGAGTATTCAGGGTACTGAATAAATACAGCTGTTGAAAGTGATTAAGTGACCAGTTCTTACTAGTACGATAACAGCAATACATGTCTAGCA